TAACATTTTTAGAGGGATTTAAGGTTAGACGGTATAGTGCAACTAGCACTAGGCAAGTATTTGTCCTCCCTCTCGACCTTCTGGACAGGTACTGTAATCGATAGGTCATTAGATCGGTTCGCAGTAGCTTAGTGGTCTAAGAGCTTGCCGTGCAACCGGGAGATCGTGATTCGATCCCTGGTGGGGCGGAGCAATGGCTGCATACTGTGATGATTCCCGAACCAGGACAAAACAGCTATCCATTACCCATAGGTTTTCCAAGGACTCTGTAACCAATGCGCCAGCTAATGATGAAATCCTGTAACCAGTCAAATTCCTGCAAGCTGACACTTGAGTATCAATCAGTCTTATGCTCATCAGAGACTGACTAACACTACTCAGGTAGGGGTAGTGAACTGGGTCCTAGTAAGACGTCGTGACCAGCAGTGTACACAGCAGGTCGAGGATGAGGACAAATACAGTTATACTAATACGTTTCAATGATATACGGTGAAAGTGTCTCCATCTAATAATATCAGTCATACACGCATAAGTACTTTGGCTAGAATTGAGTAATATCACATATTCGTTGGACGAAACCCCTGAACAACGAATAAAAATCATTGAGTCGCTCATTCACTCAAAATTCTCCTGTAGCGAATCACCCAATACCGCTTCTCCTGTATTAGCCACTTCGGTTGTTCAGATTACTAATAACACTACTGGATTCCACTACGATCTTCATAACCATACCATAAATATCTGGTTAAAATCGTGGAAAGTACCCATTGGAATATTAGATTGAAAAGAACAAAAAGTTCAGCAAAGATATGTATCTTTTCAGAGATTTCATTCTCAAAAGTACATGTACAATCGAATTTATATAGATTAGTTTACATGAATAAAATTATTATTATTTGTTTAATTAATTCCACATAGTAACGAAGGTGATAATAATTTTCAACTTGATATGAAAGTTTGAAGGTACGAATATAGATTACAAGGGGCTTAAAGACAAGATCGCATAGAATTGGCTAGAAAACAGTTACAACGTATGCAAAATTAATATTTGATAAGTGGAGAAATACTAATTTTAATTCAAATAGAAGGTGATAATTGTTTTCAACTTGATATGAATTACAAGAGGCTTAGAGATACAGGGATAGAACGAATTACAGGTGTGAACGAAGTGAGCATGGAAACAAATTGAAATCGAAATTCTTTTGTCAACTTGAAATGTAAGCTAGGAGGTGTGTGTGAATATAGATTACTAGAGGCACAGAAACAAAAAGATTACACAGGATTAGAATATAATTGTAAAATGTTTTATTCTCAACGGATTACAAGTATGGTCAAGAGGAGTATGGAAACAAACTTAACTTAACTACCATGGTCCTAGTTCGGTATGTTCCCTTATCCTTCAAGTTTTGTTTTGTTATCTTTGTGTGTAATTTTCTCTCTTTGCCTTCATTCAATTCATCCCAATTTTTTCCAGTTATAAAGTCAGTCGTTTTAAGTTTGTTTCCATGCTCCTCTTGTCCATACTTGTAATCCGTTGAGAATAAAACATTTTACAATTATATTCTAATCCTGTGTAATCTTTTTGTTTCTGTGCCTCTAGTAATCTATATTCACACACACCTCCTAACTTACATTTCAAGTTGACAAAAGAATTTCGATTTCAATTTGTTTCCATGCTCACTTCGTTCACACCTGTAATTCGTTCTATCCCTGTGTCTCTAAGCCTCTTGTAATTCATATCAAGTTGAAAACAATTATCACCTTCTATTTGAATTAAAATTAGTATTTCTCCACTTATCAAATATTAATTTTGCATACGTTGTAACTGTTTTCTAGCCAATTCTATGCGATCTTGTCTTTAAGCCCCTTGTAATCTATATTCGTACCTTCAAACTTTCATATCAAGTTGAAAATTATTATCACCTTCGTTACTATGTGGAATTAATTAAACAAATAATAATAATTTTATTCATGTAAACTAATCTATATAAATTCGATTGTACATGTACTTTTGAGAATGAAATCTCTGAAAAGATACATATCTTTGCTGAATTTTGTGTTCCCTTCTTTCTAATGATCGAACGGTTGTTTCCTACGATTTTCGAGATTCAACCAATACTGTAATCTAATTTTATTTCAAAACGCATGGAAACGCACATTCGACTCCCCACTAGAAACCGTAAGATAAAATTTTGTTGATCACTCGTCCCACTTTAACTTTCGATATCACTATCTCATACTAATTACGAATGAGAACGACGATCCCCTCACGTACGTTGATATTGCCGGCCAAGAGTATAAAGGATTGAAATTTTCGATTTATGATCAATTTAAATCATTAATACCCCCCTCATTCACGGCATGCTCACCGACATCAGAAGAAGGATGCTCAACCTCTTAGAGCGACAGCTGATTAACGCTGCAGATTATCAACGACTTATCATTCTTTAGATTGATCCCAGTTTAGCCCAAGAAGGGCGCTATGGTAGTGATGAAATCAGTGCAGTTCGCCAGACTTCACAAACCACTGACCAAACACTCTCTGGTCCCACCACGACTGTTTAATTATCGTAGTTATTCACGCAATGCCAATACCAGTCGATGCCCTAAGAAGAAACCTCCATCATTCTGCTGGCATTATGGTGTTTGACATTTTGGAAAGTCTTTTGCGGTATAAGCTTCACCGATAATACAACAAAGTTGAACACAAAGACGGTTCTTGCCAGCAACACACACACGCACACAACGATACTCAGAACAGCCGTCCTCGAGAAGTCGCCGCAAACACCTATACCATTTAGAAACCACCCACCATCACGGTGTACTTGGCATTATTAATATTAGATAGTTGGAGGCAATCAGCAGGAATCCCTGTCTAGACCTAGGTTTCATGTTAGTTGGCATGTGGTGAGAGCTGTCTGCAAGCGAAAATTGTAGACAACAATTTACATCAGTGTTTACGTCCCGAAAGTGGGAGGTCATGAGAAAAAATAAGAGCAAAGCCTAACCTTGAGGAACTCACCAACCGATCACAGAGGACTTAACGGGCGCAAATACGATTCGTAGGTATATGGCCTGACCTTCTAAGAAATGGCCACAAAGAGATGACAGAATAACCTTCAGCAAGAAAACAACAAGCAATCAGTAGACGTTGCTTCTCTGCTAACAATAACGCTTATATTAATAATGTACATAAAAATCTACAAATATCTGTTGATTTTCTTAATAAACGATCTGTTGCCTGGTTGTTCGTTGTCTTTTGTCGTTACAGGCACTCGTTAACAAGGCGTATCTGCCTCCTGAGATTCCAACCTGTATCACTAACCGCTGAAGTCAGTCAGATATGTTACCAACTAGCATAGAGGCGACATTATTAACTTGACTGATAGAATTCAGTCTACACTAAAAATAGGACTATACACATTACCCTAGATACTCACTAGAGTTCAATCAAAATATCCAATACAGACGGTCCTACAGGAGGTCAATTGCGAGTCCGAATAGTTCAGTGGTAAATCTTCTGATTGCACCGTCGAGTAATACGGGATCGAATATCAGAAGGAGCATGAGTTTCTTCAACATTGACGATACGCCTTAATGACTGATGATGAGTGCCAACTACCACGAAACCTAGGCATAGAAGGGGATTTTCTGTAGCCGGTTGTCTCCACCCATCTAATAACAACGTTGTTGGCATAGGCAGACGATAAGCTAGGATTACCGTGTCTGTGTCATCAGCTATATGGCCATATGCAACATAACATTTCACAAAATATAGAAACACAAAATAATTGAACCAGCAAAGAATATCCTTTTCGATAACTTCCTCCACTTCTGACTCTGCAATTATATATATGCATGTTTATATACATAGAATATTCTAGATTAGTAGTCAATAACAATATCGGCCCGTTTTTTAAATAATATTGATTTGTAAAGTAAGATCACAATGGAATCCCCACAGTTCATTAAAGATGCTTAAATTATATAATAATAATAACAATAATAATAATAATAATAATAATAGAGATAGTAGCAAATAGAGTATCAACTAAAATTATAAAAATTCCACACAAAAATTCAGGATCATTCAAACCTAGATGGCCAAGCGGGTAAGGATAATATCTGAACCAACTAACTTCTTTTGGATGCAAAAATTAGGCTTGTTATTATGGATCCCAACGGCCAGCCAGCCTCACCAATATTTAATAGTCGAACTCTTAAAGCGAAATTGAGATTAGGTGGTTGGTATGCAGTAAATGACCCTGAAAGCCGCCTGGTTAGCATCAATCTTGTGTTCTGTATCCACAAAATGAGACAGAATAGCACTGCCAGTAGATTTTCTTTGTCCTTTGCCTAACCAACCACTGTGTAGGGTGACGTTCGGAAATTCGACGAGAAATACGCCGAATTGTACGGCCTATGCAAGTAATTGGCTCACTTCACAGCAGTAGCAGTTAAATTGGTAGATACAAACACATGGAAGAGACGAAATTAGGCAGTTTATCTCTTACTACCGAACACAAAAGAAGAGTGGTTTTGAAGACACAGGGTAATTTAGCATCCGGAAATGTTCTTTTTACGGTACAGCTAAGGCGTTGTGTTAGTATCTCGCCAACAGTATCATTGACTGCTAATCTAGAATATCCTATGGGTATAAACATATATAGTTTTATTCTTATATCAATGATATATAGGTACAAGTGTAGAGCCAGAAGAGGAAATTATCGAAAAGAATATTCTTCTCTAGCTCAATTATTTTGTGTTTTATAGACGTTTGAATAAATATAGAAACTTTAAATGGGAAATTTTTCATGTAGAATGACGACAGTTCAGCGGGAAAACATAAGGTTGTACGCTGTTACAAGCATAATACAGCGAAGACTTAGAATTTGAGACAAAAAAACAGTAACTCTAAAACATAAGTTTATTGAGAACTAACCACTAAAATATTATGTATGTATATCAAATAAATATGTAGGGGTAAGTAAAGTTGGTGATCAGTTTGATGTTTCATTTAAGGCGCGATGAGTAGAGTCGAGATCCTTGAAATAGCGAACAGTTTTAACACGAAGTTCCATAGTTGCATCTTCATCAACAACAAATATAACATTTTTATGATGCTAGATAAGTAAATAAATAAAAGGGGTAAAAATTTAGATAAAGTTAATATAATTAAACACAACGGAAAACTCAGCGAGGCGTTTGGAGTAAACACAAGAGTCAGACAAGGGTGCTTGCTTATTATCACCAATGAATGATATTCCTAATTGTGGTGAACTGACTGGATTATGCGTCAGACAGTGGGAAATGAGAAGACATGGATATCCTGGACCAACGTGAAGAAAATGGAAGACCTGGATTTTGCGCGTGGATGATTTATGTTTAATGTCAAACAAGATCGAAGACTTACAAGCGAAAACCGAAAAAACTGGTCGAAGAAGCAGCCGACGAAGACAGGACTCCAGGTGAACATAGGCAAGACGGAGGTTACGAAAATAACCAACCAACAAAAACAACAACAACAGCAGGAACATCCAGCGCCAATCACCATCAACTGGAGGGATTTGAAAGAGGTTACTTCACTCACTTATCTAAGGAGTATTGTCTCAACTACAGGCGGTTGGAACGGACGAGGATGTCAAATCGAGCGAGAATCAGGTGGTGGGCGAGAAACACATTCACTCATCAACCTGAAACCAATCTGGAAATCTTCGTCACTCAGCCACCATCAACAACAAAATTCGGTCGGATTTTTAGTACAAACGTAAAGTCAGTCAGTTCTTCTATGCGGATGAGAAACTTGGCGGGTGGGTCACAAAGAATATTTCCAACAGCCTGTTGCAGACGTTACCTTTACAACAACTGTCTTCGCTGGATCTACACTGAAGATCAGATGGCCAGGCCGGAAAGAATCACCAACAAGAAACTGTGGGGATAGACAAAACAAGAACCAATCGCCAACCAACAAATATGCAGGAGAAAGTGTAGATGGATTGGACACTCGCTGATGAGGCCACCGCTGGGTGACATCGCGCGCGCGTCAGGCCATTGCTCGAGTAAAACCCGAAAGGGAAGCACGCGGCAAGTCGGACGTCAGTGCAAGGGTGACATGGAGGAGATCGTGTGAAGAGGAGCTGAAAGAGTATGGACTAAGATAGATGCAGGTGAAAAGTAGAGCAGAAGACAGAAGCAAGTGGATACGTGCAGTTGAAGCCCTATGTTCCACTGGGAACCCAAGGGAACAAAACTAATGATAATATTATTAAAGGGTGAAATTAGCAGTGTTTACCTGTAGAGCAGATACTGTCCACATATGATTAACGCCTTCTTCAATCGCTTTATGCAAAGCGATAGCTTTCGAGGCTCCAGTAACTAATATCATAATCTCCTCTGCATCCATTATAGTTCCAACACCAACAGTTAAACAGCGTTTAGGAACCTGTTTTATTAGATTATACAGAAGGGAACATAATTCCTTTCATCAGATGAAATACAATACAAGCGCGTAAATTTTATATTTATCTAAAATACAAACAGAATTAATTTTCAAAAATAATATTCAAGAGAAAATTTATTGTGTTGTTTTTGCTTCTGTTAGCATCGATTATATGTCAGTCAGTAAGCCATACTGCATTTATTCACCTTTTGCAAATTTGAATAAAAAAAGAACAATAGTGAACTTTTGCAGAATAAGAAAATGATACTAACATCACTTATTTTGTTTATTTTTTCTCTTTGATTACAGCTTGATTCCACACCGTATTTTTGGTATAGGTATGGAATTTTCAGCATGTGATATCGGTAGCCCAAATTTTACAGGCCGACCATAGATAAGAGGTGTGCATCGGCAGGAGATCGAACCCCGGACCTTGTTCATGATCGGCGAGAGTCATAACCTCTGTGCCACCGACGTATATCAGTTCACATGAGCACAGCATGAAATAATTATTAACCTTATGTACAGAAACAATTTTAACATAAGTGCGAATTGTTTAATTCAAAAGTTAAGATTTTCCTGTCGATCGATTGGACCGAAGTGCTCGGTCTCATGTTAACATGTCTGTTGGCTTCTTGTGCAGATGCTTCGACGATGTCTTTGCATGTATTAGGGGTAAAATAGGTGGATGGTGGCTAGCAGTGGTGTCCAAGATGCGTCCTATTTGGGACTCTGAATACATGCCCCAACATCGTAGAAGCACCTAAACAAGAAGTCGACAGACATGTCAACCTGAGACCGAGCACTTCAGCCCAATCAATCGACGGGAAAATCTAAAATAATTAATATGACCCATTGCACAAGAGGTGGCTCTCGTAGCCCAAGTACTCTAGTGGATAACTCTTTGGCGTTTGAAACCATTGGCACTGGGTTCGAGCCTCGGTGGAAACATCATCACTCACTGCGGAATACAGGTACATCCAGTTGACGAGTCCCAAATAGGACGATATGTGCGTTATCCTGGATTCCACTGCTAGTCATCATCCACCGATTAACTTCTAATAAATTGCAAATGTTACCATAATATCATTTGACAGCAGGCACCAAACTGAATAAACAGTGCTCAGAAATTACCTTTATAAAGCTTCTGTTTAGGAAGTTCAAGTTTGAACGAATAAAAATTAATGCCAGAATGCGATAGCAACAGAGAGTTACGCAATAAGGACAAGATATGAATAAGATGATGAGTAACCGATAAACAATTATAACTATTAATACATCGGGCTCCGAGTGGAACATACAGCCTCAACAGCACATTTCCACTTCCTTCTACTTTCTACTATCTTCTTCAGATGGATCTACGACTGAACATAATTTCTCATCTACTCCTCCAACACACACACACACACAATCTCCCTCATGTCATCTTTTTACTGACGACTCATTCATCGTTTTCCAAAAAGGAATCTGACTTGGCCGATGGCCTGCATCGTGCGCCATATCATTTGACATTTTCCACAATGTATGTGCCCAATCAATTCATCCCCATTTTCCACTACACACTTCTTGAGCAATCAGAGGCTCTCGGTTGGTTCCTTCAATGACAGCCACAGTTTCTTGTTGCTAATTCTTTCTGGTCGGCCGGCCGGCCAGCCAGCCAGCCAGCCATTTGATATTCACTATGGAAACAAAAAACCAGCCAGCCAATCGTACAGCTGTTGATAACAGTCTGAAGTGAACTGTTGCAAATCCTTTAGGTGAATCACTCACGGACCGTGTGCTTGACCCATATAGAACAACTGACTGACTGACTGACTGACTTCACTGACATCTGTGTTGAATAGAATCCGAATCTTGTTGTCTATGCTCAGGTGGAGTGAAGAAGAAGAAGATTTCCCAGCTGATACCAGGTTGATGAAGGCGCATCTTGCCTTTCCGATTCTGGGTGGCCGCCTAGCTGACTGGCTGGTTTTGACACCTTCATCCGGTCCGACTGACTGTGTTTGAAAAATGCTGGCCGCCTTGATAAGTGAAGGCAGGAAATGACCTCTTTCAAATCTCTCCTATTGATGGTGACTGGTGATGGCTGTTGTTGTCGTTGTAGCTGTTGGTGGTTGGTTGTCTTCATCGCCTCCGTCTCCGCTTTTTCTATGTTCAGTTGGATGGAGTCCTGTCTTTGCTGCCAGCCAGCTAGCCAAAAAGCCTCTTCAGCCAGTTCGTTGCCAGTTTCACCTGCCTCTAACTCTTCAAGTTTGCGTTTGTGTGACATTCAACTTTACAAATCATCCGCAGACGAAATCCAGTTCTTCTAGAGTTTTCTCATTGGCCAGTGCAATATATTCCTGTCTTTTTACCCACTCACTCCCAACGTACAGTCTCACGCATAGTCGAATCCGCCACAATTAGGCATATCGTCTTTGGTGATAATAGGCAGGTAGGCAGACAGCGAGCCTTGTCTTTCTCCTGTATTCACTTCAAGGGCAGGCCTCGCTGAGTTTCCGGTTGTGGGTCATCTGGCACATTGTATTGTCATACAGCCAGGTGTTGAATGAGGTTGATATAGATTTGCGGCACTGTACAGCGTAGAGTTGAAGTAGCTTCCAATTTACTTCTTGGCCAATGGTTTCGAATGCCTTTTCAAAGTAGATGAAACTGACACAGAGATTTTACTACTTATTTATTTTTATTTATTTAAACGCATTAAAAAACTTGGTACAATATGGCACTAAGAAAGATGCCCCACACAATATTAATAATAAAACAACATAGATCAAAAGTAAAAAAAATATAAGTAGAGAACGGATAAAGAACTTCATCTGGAAGGAAAACCTTCATGCTTAACAAGTTCAAACAGTATTCGTTAACTATCATCGGGAAGGGAAAAAAGAAAGAAATTGCAACACGTTCGCCACTGATTACGATTCTTGACCATATCCGATAACGTTTCAAGCCATCGATTCGAGCTATCTCGCACACCCCAACCGGGGAGTCGTGACACACCAACCGATGCTAATCTAGCACGAACAGCCTTCATCCCACGACGCCATATCATGGATTGACCACCCCTCCGCCTTTCCCACCCCGTCCCAGGGCTGGCCAGCGAACAGAGACACCTGTACGGAAGCCTCTGGGGTGACATTCGCAGTACATGTCCAAGCCACCGAAGGCGGTGTTTCCAGATGACGACGACACTCAATGAATGGTGATCTCCATTTTGTTCAAAAACACGCCGCCGAACCTCAGAATTACTCACGCGGTGATGCCATCCATCGAACACAAGAAATCCTGCGGAGACAGCGGTGATCGAACACGCAGAGTCGCCGCACATCCTCAGCTTACTCGGAGAGGCCAGGTTTCACAGGCGTAGAGCAGCGCAGCCCGCACCAAAGCATTGTATACCCGACCTTTGACAGCCAGGCTAACGTCGCGACAGCGCCAGAGGTGGCTGAAGTTGATGTATTATGCCACCCTAGTCTTCATTATACGGTTGGAAATCTCATCCGTCACCCCTACAGATTCGACTACCACTCAATGATTTGTTCGATGATGATGTGTAGACTTGCTATTTGATCAGCGCATGATTCACCTTTCGTGAATATAGCCAGCTTGTTCCGGTGGGGTAGGTAGGTGGAGTTCTGCATCCACTGCATCTCTTATTATCCCCAGGATGATGCGACTTAGTATTTTATTGGCTTGGACAACAGCATTATTCAATATAAGCATAAAACTTGGGCACTGTGTTGGTAGAGTACAACTTTATTATAGATAAGATTTTATTTTGATAAATCACACAGTGTTGTTATACACTGATATTAACTGATGACGTTTCGGGCACAAACTATTGCTCATAATCATATCAGATCACTCACACATCTTTTATTTCATTTATATACATCAGTGGAATTGATGATTAAACATTTGAACAAAAACCAATATAGGATTGCACTACATGCATTAACACACAACCACACAGTAGCATGGTGGGAGAAGGTTAAAATTCTAAGAAGTAATATAAGTAGGTGGAGAGAGAGATTGGTTGCTGAATTTTGACTGGTTCATTGAGTCTACACTCAACACATGCAACAGAAATGACTCAATGTAAATACCAGAGATATGTATGGAAGATATTATTACCACCAGTCAGTCATTCAGGGAAATCAGAGTAGGATAATAAATAATCTCAAATTTCTGTTTCAGTTGAAGTACATCACAACACTCTAACAAGTTACTTATTTTGACTATAAACACACTCGTCTTATTTCCCATCTGGTTGTACTTGATTGATAACACTCATATTATTATTATTTCTGAATGTACATTATCCTATATTACTGATTTGTGTTCAAATGTCTAATCATCAATTCCACTCATGTATATAAATAAAGGAAACAAGAAAGTTGTGAGAGTGTATAAGTGAGTGACTTGATATGATTATGAATGACTGTAATAAACTGTGCTCGAAGCGTGTGGTCGCATCAGTTAATATTACTGTATAACACTACACTGTGTGGTTCATAAAAATAAAATCTTATCTATAATGGAGCATTATTCAACTCCAGTTCTTGAAGGGTGGGGCGTAAGTCGCCCTTCTATGGTAACTTGACAAGATAGCTAGCCTTTTCTCCAATCGGTAGGCACCTTTCTTTTCTTCCTTCCAACCAAAAATATTTTGCAATAATGCCTTGAGCGCCTCTGCTGCAGTCTCTGGGTCCGATTTCAGTGCTACTAAATATATAGTAACAATTGTAGTAAGTTCAACTGAAATCACAGAAACAAAAGGCAAGCAAAGTTACACTATAACGAAGGAGGGAGAGATTAAATCAGAGAGAGAGTAAAGATATCCAGTTACTAGAGCAAGTAAATAACTGACACCTGCTTCTTTGCGAACACATAAATAAGTACGGTTTCAGCCGTTTGATAGCAATTGTTTCAGAGAATTTCAGGAGAACTGAACTACTCTGTCTGATGATAATTTCTGAGGGATTTCGTCATGTTCCCCTCACGAGCCGTGTTGACTATTCCTGCAATACTGTCTGTCATTTTTGAAGTCGAGCTGACTCAAGACAGGCGATTTCCCACTGTAATTTGTTTCACACTTGAGCCTTTATATCTCCTGTAGTTATCTGTAAAATCTCTGAAGATAACCGTTTTTCGTTTTTCAAAACCTTTTCGAGAAACATAAGTTCTTGCTTTGATTTGTCTATACAGCATATTTTTCTTACTTTAGAGAGTAGACTTTTGACTAGTGTTCGTCTATAGCTCTATGGACAAAAAAATAATAAAATGTAAAAGTATTTTCTCTTCCATGTCGGCTTTCAGTAAATTGCTGTCTGGAGACTGCCAACTTCCATGTGTTGCACTGCGATGTCGTGGGATTGAAACTTTCCATCATTTTCATAATTAATTCTTCAAGCTGTACACAGCTGATGAGAAGCCAAAGCAATTAAATGATAGTACCACTTTATTCTACATGACCAGTTGTTCTAGCTCTATTCAAATACGTCAGTGATCATCCTTTCTTAGCCTTTACCAGCTTGTTCTGATGGGGTAGGTGGAGTTCTACATCCCGCATGTCTTTTATTCTCTCCAGCATGAAGTGATCTAATATTTTGCTTGGCAGGGATAATGGCTTGTGAGTTATTTAGTTTCAGGCTTCACAGTAATCTGGTAGGCAATGTTTTACACCATACACACATTACCACTACACACAAATCAATTTTTTCAAGAGTCAGTTTGTAGGAATTTGGTCGATTTCAGGTTTGATCACGGATTGACATCATTTAGAGAACCCCTGAGAACTAGGGAGTACTGGACAGTTGTTTCGTCCTAGTTTGGGACTCATCGTCAGTACGCACCCTCTTCCAAGACCTTCCGGTTACAAGGTAAGCTGGTTCGTATACCTTTCAGCCACTCATTGGGACCCTCCCTATTCAATGGCCCACGAATTCTAACTTCTACAAATTCGTGATTTTAGCGTGACTGGTTACAGGACGAACTTGCCTGTACTCCTAATGAGAGGTCGTGACCAGTGGTGTACATCCAGTCGGAATGAGGATGGAGTTCTCGCCGATGACATTGGTGGGTGGTAGCGCTAAACTCCCGAATTAGTAGAAGTTAGAATTCATGGGCTGGCCACTGAATCGGGTCTCAGTGAGTGGCTGAACGGTATACGAGCTTGCCTTGTACCGGAAGGTCCTAGCAGTGAGTGCGTACTACCGATGCGTCCCAAACTAGGACGAAACAGCTGTCCACTACTCACAATTAGTTTTTCATGATCCTGTAATACACGGTCTAACCTGAAATAAATGAAATTATAAATATTAGAGAAATCTACACAATTATCAGTAACGAAGCTTATGCATGAGTAGTACACATAACACACTCTACCTTGGTGATATCATCTCCAAAAAATCTTGCATTAGCAATAACCGTCTCTCTCGCCAATGCCTTAACCCGTGTACGTGACACTAGACTAGAACCAGGTTCATTGAAAGCAATATGACCATCTGAGCCCATTCCACCGACAAATAAATTAATGCCACCGGCGTTTTTGATCTCCATTTCAAAAGTAGCACATTCTCTATCAGGATCATCTGTTGTTCCATCAAGTATATGCACATTTTTCGGATCAATATCTATGTGCTGAGAAAATTTAGGCATTATTAATTAGGAGAGAAAATAATAATGATAATAATAATAATAACAATGACTGTATAAAGTGAATAATTTTCGAAAAGATATGGATGCTATGCAAAATTAGGCTACTGGATAAGCTAGACATCACAGTTTGTACACATTTAGTAAACATTAAAAATAGTACCTTACACTTATAACAACTACATGTAGTACTTATCATACAGATTGAAAAAGATAATAATAATAACTTCAGTAAAACCTAATGTTAGTTTTCATTGTCTAGAGCTGTTTTGGTTCATGTGATGTGAACTATTATTCCTTAGAGTTCCTAGTGGGACATACGGCTTCAACAACACATTTCTACTTTGTTCTGTTTGCTACCGTCCTACTCATCTGGCTAGCCTCACGATTACCAGTAATCTCTCATCCACTCCTACAACACAAACACAATCTCCTCCATGTCACCCTCACACCGACCACCCACTCCTCAATTACCATTGGGATTACACTAGAGCGATAGCCTGCATTGCATGCAGTGTCATTGACGGACTCTTTACTCAACACACGCGCAGAGTCTTCTGAACACCTTGAGCTGCAACCTAAGAATGTTTGGCATGGAGTTCCATCGCGCCAAATGTAAGATGATGTTACGGGACTGAACTACATTGATTCCTAGCTTAGAAATAGGCGGTGAAGTTGTAGAGCACGTTGACCGCTTCACTTATTTGGAAAGTTGCATCAGCCAGTGCCAACGGCTTGATCCCTGACGAAATCTCAGCTGAGTACGGATAAAGAGGGCTAGTTCCAGATATGCCAGTTTACGCAGTCTCTGGCCTAGTAGACGTGGTATCCGGCTGGCTATTGACCAAAGGGCGAGTGTACTGCTCATCAGTCCCCTCCGTCCTCCTTTATGGCTGGGTGGCTGACTGTGACACCTGGCTATTCAGAGTGGAAGACATGAAAGGACTAGCTAGCTGTTTTTGATCATAGATGACTGCGTTCTATCTCGTATGTGTGCTATGTGGTATAATAGGGTGAGCAACATTGAGGTGAGGCATCAGTCGAGTTCTAGGTAGATAGGAGGGGAAATCAATCGACGAGGCTGTGAAGTTACACCGATTGAGATGGTTAGGACATGTGTTACGCATGCATCCTTAGCCATCACCTTCCACTACCAACGACCAATGTTAGCTGTCATAGGGTCAGGCTGGAAAAATGCTAATGGCTGTCGAACCAAAACATGGCTTCGTCAGTCAATGAAATCCACAACAGTTAGCTTAAGCCAGCCAGCCAGCCACGTAGGGAGGTGTAGAATTCCTGGTTAGGGTGTTCGTGACGCTAAAAACCAATGAAGGCTGGAAACAATGAATGATAAGGCTCAAAGTCGTTGTCAGTGGCCGGCGCAGATGCATCCACTTATTTGACTTAAAATACCCAAATGAAACTGTATTGTTCTTCGTGATTACTATTCCTTTGTCTCACACCTCTGTTTACTGTCTCTAATATGCATTTCTTCTACTTTCTTCTTTTGCTTTGTGTGCTACAAAGAGGGAGTGTGGCAACTTGAACTGGTGCACATTGATGCAAAGTTCTGTGTCGAAAACAGACAGACATGCATAGTCAATTCATCCCCATTTTCCAATACACACTTCTTGAGCAATCAGAGGCTCTCGGTTGGTTCCTTCAATGACAGCCACAGTTTCTTGTTGCTAATTCTTTCTGGTAGGCCGGCCAGCCAGCCAGCCATTTGATATCCACTATGGAAACAAAAAACCAGCCAGCCAATCGTACAGCTGTTGATAACAGTCTGAAGTGAACTGTTGCAAATCCTTTAGGTGAATCACTCACGGACCGTGTGCTTGACCCATATAGAACAACTGACTGACTGACTGACTGACTTCACTGACATCTGTGTTGAATAGAATCCGAATCTTGTTGTCTATGCTCAGGTGGAGTGAAGAAGAAGAAGATTTCCCAGCTGATACCAGGTTGATGAAGGCGCATCTTGCCTTTCCGATTCTGGGTGGCCGCCTAGCTGACTGGCTGGTTTTGACACCTTCATCCGGTCCGACTGACTGTGTTTGAAAAATGCTGGCCGCCTTGATAAGTGAAGGCAGGAAATGACCTCTTTCAAATCTCTCCTATTGATGGTGACTGGTGATGGCTGTTGTTGTTGTTGTTGTTGTAGCTGTCGGTGGTTGTTTGTCTTCATCACCTCCATGTGCTTCGTCTTTACCTGATGTAATGTGAACTACCAGACTATACATATGATGGGACGGTAATAACCAGATACAAAAATAGTACCTAAATCTGCATATTTCTTTGAAAAAATTGCTTACTTTATAAGACTATTAAACTAAAACCAGCTTTAAGGAGCCATGAATGCATTTATAACATCTTTGGAGGCAATCGACGGCAAATCTATCCTACTCACCATCAGTCAGCAAGGCATATCCGCAAATTTGAAGAAAGTCACGTACCTTGTGAGAATCGAACCCACACTACACACAGTGGTATGTAAACCAAATATCTTAAGTGTAAACTAAGCCCTTTTAGACATTGGGTTGCTAGCAGTAGTTTGGTGAAAGAAAGTCGCTCTTTCATAAGTTCTTAGTAAGGGAAGTATCTGTACATTATGGAAACGAAACACATTGTCCAGTTAACAGCCTCCCTTCAACGGCAAATTAATTCACTTAGCACTACACTAACAATTATATATGTGCTTATTATTGCACGTGTGTGTGTGTGTGTGTTTACACTGAGTTTGTCGGATAAGAATAAAAATAAGTAAGCGTTATTGTTGTCAAGATGTTTCAAAAATGTGATGAGCAATCAAAATGTAACTAGCTTGCAGTGTCCTCAAGAGGCGAATTCAGGCATCTTTCAGAAAACCATTCATCGCAGAAAAACCAACAATATTGTCCTCCAATCATCCATTAATCCACAGAAGCCTCAAGGACAAGATCTCGCATCTGGCCACTTCTGTGTGCATATATAAGTTCAACTGTTGCTGTGGAACCAGCCAGCTGCATTGACCGTTAGACGAGCATCTCTTCCGAAAGGATTCGAGAACACTATCCCACAACATGGCTGCAAAATGTCAATAGTGGATAAATCAAGAGTGCGACCACAGAAAACACCTTGTCAACAACACTAGTCATTCCATCTCGACAAACACCTCCAGCTTCATTCAAAGTGATCTCCAAGGTGAAGAACAACCTACCAAAGGTAATGCACTTACATCTCCTCTGTATTCATGAAGTCTTAGCCATTCATTCAGTTAGAAATACCAGAGTTATTCATGCAGAAGGAAATCATTCAACCACTTCTACTATCATGGTAACAACTGTGCTGGCTTTTACTAACTCGATGTTTGTGTATTTATTTTCTTTTCTTCTAGCTCCTTATAATATTTGTAGCTTTTACTCCTCTGACATAATTTCATATTTCCTTTGTTTCTATGTACACTCATCATATCTCACTCATTAAACTATTGATCTTACTGCGTAACTGTCTTGAGCTTATTCAACTACGGCTTACCAAAGGTGCACAAACCTGACTTGCCGTTTCGGTCGATTCTAGACATGTTAGGGTCACCATACTATCTAATCGCCAAATGGTTGTCCGAAATGTTGGAGCTAATAAGAAAACACCTATGGAAATACTCCCTTCGCGATACTTTTGAGTTAAGTGAGTGCATAAAAGATTTGAATGTAAATGATGAACGAATGTTATCACTAGATGTCGAATCTCACTTTACCAGCGTGCCACTAACAGAAAAAATTTACTTTCTGTGCAATTATAACACACATACCAACTCATCGGATTAGAAAAATATGCAGCAGAGACTGCTCGGAAGAGGGGCTCCTATTCCTCAAAAATATCCTGGCTCAAAATGGCTACCCGACACGTTTTGTCGAAAAGAACATGAAACCTAAACCAAAAAGAGAAGAATGCGATTCAGCGCCAAAGAAAACACTGTATCTGAATCTGAATTTCAGGGGGAGATTTGGCAGCCGACATCCTGAAGAGGAGAATATCCAGGTCTTTAAAGAAGACCTTCCTTCCCTGCAGCAACACTAAGAGTGACATTCTCTAGCTGTCCAGTACTTCGAAACAACGCGAAGGACAAACTCTGGCATATAACCAATTCAATGTGCATATACCAGTTCACCTGCTCGTGCGGAGCTATGTACATAGGTCGTTGTATGCGCGTCCTTTCAAAACGTGTTAGAGAATATTACCCAGCATGGCTGCAAAGAGGAGGTACTGGGTCAATCAGTCAGAAGTGCCATTATTGAACATCTGATCAACATCTTCCACAACATCTCAACTGATTCTTTCAAGGTAATTTACAAAGTCAACAGAAACCTACCAAAGGCAGTATGTTTCCGACTTCTCTGTACTGCAGAAGCCCTTGCAATATGCATCCGGAAGCCGGAGCTGTGTGTTCAAAAGAAATTAGTCCAACCTCTACAACTACCATGAACCTACTTCGGGATGTTCCCTTAGCTTTTGTTTTTTCTTCCTTCGTTCTCTTTTTTCGTTCGTTGTGTGTGATTCTTACTCTCTCTCTGTCTTCATTCAATTCGTCCCATTTTTTCAGTTATAAAATCAGTTATTTTAAGTTTGTTTCCATGCTCTTCCTGCTCACATTTATAATTCGTTTAAAAATTAACTATTTTACGATTATATATTAATCCTGTGCAATTTGCGTGTTTCTAAGGCTCTTGTAATCTATAATCACACATCCTAACTTCCATTTCAAGTTAAAATTATTATTTCAATTTTTGTTCCCATGCTCATTTTCTACACACCTGTAATTCGCTATAACCCTGTGTAATTTTGTGTCTAAGGCTCTTGTAACCTATATTCAACTTCAGTTTTGTGTGATTAACAGTAATAACAATATCTAATTGACAACGCATCATCTGTTAACCTCGCACCAATCATCATCCCAACCCCCTTGCTACACTTTGATTTTCTCATTACATTTTTGAAATATC